CTTGTCGCTGGCTCGTTTCCTCTCTTCTTTCACTCTGCCTTTGTCAATTTGTACAAATTTTCGTTATATGGTTAATTGTTATACGGCTCGATGCTGCTGCTGCTGCTGCTGCTGTTGTTGTTGTTGTTGCCAAACAGCTTTTATGCTGAATGCAGCCTATGTAGCAATGCTCATAATGATGCTAGTCATGATAATGATGACGATGATGACACACAGCTGCAGAGTGGGACACTGACTGAACTGGCTGTCGGGGATGMGCTGGCTGCAGCATCRTCTGCGTCTGCAGCGTCTTCTTGGCCTGACCTTTGGCAATTTGAAATGCAGGTTTACAGCTGTTGCCCGACCCGTTGGAATATTTTTGTCTGTTTCTGATGGAATTGCGAAACGCTCTTTGGCTGTTTAGCATTTTAATGGAGCTTAGCATGGATTTGAATATAGATTTATGCTGCTTGTTTTACTCCGTTTTTTGTTTCTGCTTCTGTTTGAGTTTTGTTTCTTTTGTTGCTTTCTTTTGATGCGCAGCCTGGCTTTGTGTCGCAGCGTCATGAATTTATTGATAAGTTTGAAATTTTCAACGTTTCTTTTGTGGGATTTCAAGGTTATAACCTAGTTTTTGGCAAAGGCGCGGATTAAAAATAAAACTAAAAAAATAAATAAATAAAACAATGCATATTTTATGGGTGAGAAATCGATTCGAGTTCGATTCGTGCATGTTTAATCCATTAAATGAAACAACTGCAAGCGCTTTGATAAAAAAATACACGATACTCAGATAACAGAGAAGCGTCCTCGGTTTACTTTCTGGCTTTTGAACTTGGCCAAAATAGAAGCTGCAGGACGTTATATATGCATTTACTATATACTCGAACAAGTGAACCTCTCTTGCTGTATTTCGATTTTAATTGAGATCTGGAGAAGCCAAAGGAAATCGCAGTATAATTAAAAATACATCAGCTCGTTGGGCAAGCTGTTCGCGATTTGCGTCTGGAAAATGGAAACTGAAAGCCGATTAGTTTTTGGCCAACAAATATCAAGTGCTGGGAATGGCCATAATTAAAAATACATCTGTGTGTGAGTGTGTGTGTGTGTGTGTGTGTGTGTGCTTTGCAAGTGAATTGGCGAGATGGCACCGCCCAATGTGACAGCTGCGACCAATTGCATGGACAATAGAAGCAGCCAAAAGCTGAAGCCCAAACTGAAACAGAAACTGAATATGAAAATAAAATCAAAGCCGAAGCCGAAGCCGAAACCGAAACCGAAACCGAAAGTGGGCCCAGACGCAGACAAAGAAGTCAACAACCTGCGCGTGTTTGTTGCCTTCAATTTTGGCGCAAATGGTGAACAACGAGCCACACTCATTAACTCTCGACAACATCTTCGTTAGTGGGAATTAATTATGCAGATATATTCATTGTATTGCGATTTCAAGTGTGGTAAAATGCAGCGCTCCATTGTCGTGATTGGATTGGGAACGGGGGCTGGGTCTCTGCGGCTAATGGCCACAAGGTGTGGGCAAGCAGCGGCTGCTCGTTATGATGATGATGTTGCCGATGATGATGACGATAATTATAATAGTTATGACAAGCAGCGACAAGCTAGGGCGTTGGCTGTGCCCTATTTGAGCATAATACACATGTCCCCCAAAGCCCCAAACCGCATTACAAAAGCATTTTTTGTTGGCTTTGCAGTTCGAAGTTGCCCAAACGGCGGCTCAAGAAACTTGGCGCTTGGGCTTCCGCTGGAGCTATTTGCCGATCGCTTTTCAGTCAACAGAAAAGCTGATTTTTTCTTTTTGTTTTTGAAAGTAAATTTCACTGATCATTGACCTCGACTCTCAGTGTGGCGATTGCGTGTAAACGCCGTCGCTGAGGCCTGAACGATTTGGGGATTACGTAAATCCGAAATTAGTTAATAAATGAAAACTGTGAACTGTGAAATGAGAAATGTGAAATGAGAAATACTGTTATTGTACAATAAATATACAAATATATCTCCATCTATATATAGAAATCGCCCCGTTACATTTGCTGCACTTTGTGGAGCTGCACTTTTCTATCGGCCCAAAGGTGATTTTTTCATTCATTTCATTTTTACCCAGCCCAAGGGACTGTTCGCTAAATATCTCGTAAATGAGTCTTACGTAAAGCGTTGTAAACAATATTGTTGTCAATGTGTCAATACGGCCATTAGGCAGGAGCTCTAATAAACATTGGCTAAGCCTGGTAAAGGTTGCGCAGTATTTGTTAAAGATTTATAAACCAAACTTATCAAGATTTCGAAATGCGCTGGATCATATAAAATTCATGCTCTGAACAAGTCACTCAAACAACCGATTCTTCCAAATGAAATAAGACAAGTTTGTTTTTCGCCAAAAGTTCCCATCGAAGAGATATGCACATAAAGATTACAGCACAGAACTGAACTTGAATCGAGCAGAGATTGGACAGACTAGAGCTATTAAAATTCTGCACCGGAAATCTCGCTACAGTTGAGTGTAGCATAAATCTTTATAATGCTCGCTGCCAGCAGGCTCAAGAACAGCAACATAAGAAGCAATTAAAACTATTTTTGGCATAAATGTATAGCACGTAGTGGACAGAGGGCGTTATCTGAGCTGCTCATCGAAAACATTCTGCGACTCAGAAGTCGCAAATAAATTGGCTTTGTAGGCACATGAATGGACTCTCAGCTAGTTCTACAACATTGCACGTAATATCTGTGCCGAAAGTAAAAATGAAGATTCAGCCGGATAAGAATTTCGCAGAAGAGTTTCTGCGCAGAAAGTAAAAATATGGAGAGAGACTTTAACATTCATGAAGCTAGAGATTTCAAGATAGTGCGACGATATAGCGGCAAGTTGTTTGCCAATACTTACATATGCCAGCCGCATATTGCGAATGTAAATAAATTAGTTATCATAGCATATATAACACTGGCTGTGACCTTTCGCTAAATCATAATGCAACATCTCAGCCCTAGCTGAGCTGCTCTAGCAACTCGGTCACTTACCAGCAAGGTCGTTGTCTAATTAAACAATTTGCAATTCAGCCTCAATTTATTCAGTTATTAATGAGAAAATGTCAACTAAGCTAAGGTTAACCTTAGCCAGGTGGAGCTTAGCCAATTTCCGACAGACAGACGTCGAAATGGGACAGAAATAGTTGTATACAGCTTGCCAACACCTTCACCGTACGCAAACACGTTCTAACGGGTTTTTTTATTGTTATTTATTTTGTATTCCTTTAGTTTTGTGTTTTGTGCGTATGACAAACGAAAGATTCAACTCACGAACGAGCGGCAGCAACAGTTAACGACAAATTACCGTTTCGAAATGCACTTGCTAAATACGCATTCAGAACTTGCACAGCCAAATCGGAGGGGCCCCCACTACCGGCCAGGTCTTCAGCGATTTGGCTTAATTGAACACAGACAGACGCACATACAGACACACACAGACACGCACACATATGGCATTTACTGCATGGGTGTGCGACGAATCAGATAGCATACAAATGGCATGCAGTGCGGGGAGACAGAGAGTAGGCCAGGCCAAGCCAAGACAGGCCAAGCCACGSCAAGCCAAGCCAAGCCAAGCCAGCATTGGTTACTTTTCTTCCGCGTTGCATATGCGACGTCAACGTGGCGGTAAACGCCGCACCCACCCACAAGCAGCCCAGCTGAAGTCAACAATTAAAAGCAAAAGAAAAAGAAAAACAAAAACAAAGCACTGCTCACAATCTAAGCCAAGTGCTGATGCAATTTTTGCATTTTTCAAATACTTTGGAACTGCTTGTCCGCAAATTATACAGTGCGCGAGTGCGCTTGGTGTTTGCTGCTTGGAGTTTGGTGTTTGGTGTTTTGTTGGCCAATAAGCATTTAGTTAGCCAGTTGGCTGGCTGGCTGGCTAATATTCTCAGCGATTTGGCATTCAATTTAGAGTGGAGCGCTGCCTGCCGCTGCCATAAACATTGCTCGCCCTGGGTAGCACACTCCCCGAAATGCCAGGCTCAACCCGATCTATAACAGGCCAGACGTTGTCTGACAGCTGCATAGCAAACGGGTTTTTAGTCGGTTTTTTTTTTTTTTTTT